GCTGACTTGTACAGATTACACCCTTGAGTGACTAGACACTATTTACAGAAACAGTGGGGGTTGATGGGAGGGTAAAACCTTCAGCACGAAGGCTGCAGCCACTGTTGGCTGCAGCGCAGCCTGAGCAGACAGGAAGTGCGAGGTCTCTTTTAATAAGACAATAAACAATAAATGTGTGCCATATTCTTCATAGAAGAATAAGACATCCCCTAAAAATAAGACCTAGCGCATCTTTGGGAACAAAATTAATATGACACTCTTATTTTCGGGGAAACGGTATTATCTGCTGTGAGCCAAGATCCATCTGATATAATAGGGATAATAGCAATTATATCCCTTGTTCCAGGTCCTCTTTTGAATCCGGCTTGAACCTCAGGCAGCAACTTGTCAATGGACAGCTGCAATCTTTGTTGGATGATCTTCAGCAAAAATTTACTTGGATGTGATAAAAGCAAAAAAAACAAAACAAAAAAAAAACTCACTGCCATTGAGCTAATGCCAACTCATAGCAACCCTATAGGACAGGGTAGAACTGCCTGTGGGTTTCTGAGACTAACTGTTAACAGGAGTAGAAAACCACCTCTTTCTACCGTGGAGCTGTTGGAGGTTTCCAACTGCCACCCTTGTAGATTGAAGCCCCATGTATAACCACTACACCAGGCCTCCCTGATTTTAAGTGCTATTATTCTATAATGTGAGCATTCTGTCTGGTCACCTGTCTTTGGAATCAGTATAAATGTGGATCTCTTCCAGCTAATTGACTGTCTTCTAAATGGCATAGATGAGGAAGTACTTCCAGTGCTCCATCAGCTAGTTGAAACATTTCAATTGGCATTCCATCAATTCCTGGTGCCTGGTTTCAGGTTCATGCTTTCAGTGCAGCTGAAATTCTTTCTTTAGCAACATTGGTTTTTTTGCTCATAAGCTACCTCCTGAAATGGTGTAATGTCAACTAGTTCTTTTTGGTACATTGAGTCTGTGTATTCTTTCCATCTTCTTTTGATGCTTTCCTGCATCATTCAATATTTTGCCTGTAGAATCTTTCAATAGTGCAACTCGAGGCTTGAATTCTTTGAGTTATGTCATCACTTGCCTGTCAGTGTGTCATACTGTGGTGGCTTGTGTGTTGCCGTGATGCTGGAAGCTATGTCACTAGTATTTCAAATGACAGCATGGTTACCCCAAGTGAATATGTTTCAGCAGAGCCTCCAGACTAAGAACAGACTACGGAGAAGGAATCAGCTGCTCACTGTGTGTGTGTGTGTGTGTGTGTGTGTGTGTGTGTGGTGTTAGGGGGTGAAAACCTTAGGCATAGCTTCAGAACATTGTCAGAGATTGTGCCAGAAGGTAAGTCCCTCAGGTCAGAAGGCATTCAAAATATGACCGAGGGAGAGCTGCCTTCTCAAAGTAGAGCTGACCATCATGACACCAACGAGCAAAGCCTGTGGCACCTTCTTCCATGTGCTGATGGAGCACCACTCGGAATGAGAAGAAACAGTTGCAGAAAATATGTACTACGAATCGAACTTGTACTACTAATCGAAACAGTTGCAGAAAATATGTACTACTGAATCGGAACTTGGAAGACAAGGGCAGCGCTTACTAAAAAGAGACAGGTGGAGGAAGAGGTTTATTTCCTGCCAAACTCTACTTTGCAGCCAACCTGGAGCAGCAACCGGCACCAAGTGCCGTCAAGGCAGTTCTGACGCGCGGCAGCCCTCTGTCAGGACAGAACTGAGCCCCTGTGCGCTTCCCAAAGGGACCCATGTCATCCTTTACATCTTGATCTTTATCTCTTTAATGCTTGCTAGTGTAAAGTATCTAAATGTGGATTTGTTTCTATTTCATTTGGTACGGGCCTTCAATCTGAGGACTGATGTCTGTCTCTAGTTCTAGAAAATTCTTACCTCTGAAGATTGGCTCCTCCCTCTTTTCTGGTCTCTTGGACCTCTGGGTCTTCTTAGCCGATACTCACTGTCTTTCTTTCAGCGTTCCTCTTTTCTGTCTTACCTCTTGCATTCCTCAGTGTATCTCAGATC